GCGCTCCGACATCCCCACTGAGAAAGATTTTCTCCGCACATTGGCTCATGAAGCCGAGGTCCAACATGCGAACTGACTGGAGGCAGGTAGACCGACCTCCACCCAGCGCCGCATCTGTGGGGAACAAGATGCCGACAAGGAAGGCGCAATTTTCTATCGCCCATGCCCCGATCTCGCCACCCGTTATCTGGAAGATTCGCTCGTCCTCGATCAGATGACCGAGGCCAGGATTCTGAAGCGACAGCGTTCATTCGCGTTGGAGGGCGCGCATGAGGGCATGCGACTGCGCCATCTCAGCGCGCAGACTGGCACTGCGGGCCGAGGGCCGCACAGGCTCCAGGCGCGCTCGCTCGTGGCGAACGCCTTGACCGCGGATTCGTGACTTGCCCATCTCCCTCTGGGAGAGGACAAGGTCAGATAAATCGGGTCACGCTGAATGAGCTCCGCCAGCAGGCCCCCAAAGGCGCCGCGAAGGGTAACAAAGGTGACTTCTCAGTTGCCTCAGTTGACCCCGTTCGCCTCGCCCCTGCCCCTCCACCTCCGCGCCGCGATGGCCCCGCCGCCGCCTTTGCTCCTGGCGGCGCTGGCTGGGCCGGCGCCGCTGGCTGGGCTGGCGACGCAGGCCTCTCATCGAGCTCGCGCCGCCCCATCGCGCCGCCGAGACGGGCGCCCGACAACGCCGAGGAGCGCGGCCGCAGCAGGAGCGCCGCGCGCGAGCGCCGCAACATCTACACATGGTGGCGCCGTGACCTCCAGCAGTGCCAGCGCGATGCGTATCCACACTGGTCGCACTTCCTGTACCAACGGATGTATGTCGACGGTGACGATTGCTAATGCATATGGTCATACGATAACTTCAGGAGCATTACCATCAGTTGGCTCAACATCTATGGAGATCGTGTTTGGGACGAACGCTACTACGAGCCATTTCAGACGTGCATGTTGAATCATATTGTTTTTCTGCATATTGTATTACGGTTATCTCTGAAGTATATTCTGTGACATGACTCCTTACACCATGGATGATTACGTTGATCCATATTGCAATTCCGAACCTTTGAATTCTACATTGCCTGTCGGTCTCGATTTTAGTTCGCACGAAAAACTCTGGCAATCGGGCATGCACGCGCCCAGGCTGGTCGCTCGCCAGTAATCTTATCTAAGGTTAGCGCTTCTTCCATCTCATGGGACGGCGTCAGTGCACGACCGATGCGTCTCATTTTACCCATGATCATGTCTTATGTCGGCATCGCTCTCCGCATATACGGTTTGACGTTGCATGCGTTCTTGTGGGGCCTGGACTGCCTCGCAAACATGCGCGATGCATTATCGGAGATCAGTTGTCACCACAACTATCTGAGTACCTTATTTGCACAGTTTGGTCTGGAGCGCCTTGGCAATATTTTGGGCCTGGAGTGCCCCGTGCATGAGAGTCGTCTTGCTTTGATCGGGTGGTTGTCGCAACTCCGATCCGCCTCACTTTGCGCCTCCTGCGCGTCGGTGGCGACACCTGCATCGAAGGATGCTGGTGCCCCGTTGCTGCTGCTGTCTTTCCCTTGCCCCCCCCCGTCCCTGTCACCTGCGGTGACGAGGCGTCGCCCGGGAGTGCCAGATCGTTTTGGGGGGCGCGCCCTGGACCCGCTAGAGGCGGGTTGGCGCTCCTCTGTACCCCGCGTGGCGGGGTTAGTCTTTTCTCTCACCTTACTTGCCAATGCGCTTTCGCTTGGAGGGGCGGTGGATAAAACGGGGTGGTGAGTGATCCTCACATCTCCGTCCCCGACTCCTGCCGTCGTCTCCGGCGGGCCCGAGGCCATCGGGGGCTGGCAGGTTTCGGGGCGGGGCGCGCGCGCGAAGCCCGTTCGCTTCCCTATTGTATCCTCTCTTACCGCAACTGCGCTGGCTCAAGGTATTGGCGTGCCTCTGACAGCGCACTGCCCCCTGCGCAGTGCCCTGGAAAAAAGGGGCCCCACTCCTCGCCGCTGCCCGCGGACCTCGTGTAGGAACGGCCCCATCGGCCGTCTCCCTACAGCTTATCTGGGGCATTTCGGAGCGTATTGGGTGCCTCTTGGGGCTTTTGGGCGGCGTCGTGGGCCGTCTCGGGGCCGCATCGGGGCCCTCCAGGGGTCCTCTTTGGCCGTGTTGGGGGCCTCTTGGACCGTCTCGGGGCTTTCCCCGGGCCGTCTTCGGGCCCTTCTGGGCCGTCTTGGGGCCTTCTTGGGGGGCGCCTTGGGGTCGCGGAGGTTCGGGGCTTCATTCGGGGGGCTCCGGCGGGGTTTTGGAACGCTTCTCCAGGTCATTTTGGAGCGTATTGGGGGCCTCGTGGGGCTTCTGGGCGGCGTCGCGGGCCGTCTTGGGGCTGCCTTGGAGCCCATTCAGGGGCCCTCTTGGGCCGTCTTGGGGGCCTGCTGGACAGTGTTTGGGTTGTCCTTGGGCCGTATTCGGGCCTTCTTGGGCCGTCTTGCGGCCCCCTTGGGGGCCTCTTGGGCCGTCGCGGAGCCCTTTCGGAGGCTGCTTGGGCCGTCTTGGGCGTTTCAGAGTCGAACAAGGCGCGAACGTGCAAATTGCAAGAACCATCGGGGGAACCTATGATTTTGGCTTCTGGAGGCTCTCTTGGGGTCCTCCTGGGCCGTCGCGGGGCCTTGCTGGGCCCGCTCGGGGCCCTCTTGGACCGTCTTGGGGCCGTGATGGCTCATCGCGTGGCCATCTGGAGGCGCCCAGGCGCCCTCGTGGACCTCCGAGAGGCCCCGGGGGCCCAAATCGCATATTTTCGATATGTTTTCTTTGTTGGTTTCGAGGCCCAGAAGTGGTCCGCCACGCGAGGGCCGACGGACGCGGCGCGACTCCAGGGGGGTTGGGGGGCATAGCAGCGCAACACCATGCAACATGTGGCAATTCTGCAAGCATAGGACACGGATATGCATTAAGGAATTCGCCAGAAAACGCTGCCGCGCAGCGCGTCACCTCCGGACGTGGATTCCTTTCGCGGGGTGCACGTCCGGGGCGCGCGGCGACTGGGCGTCGGGCGGTTTGCCTTGCGGGTCTGCGCCGCCGGTCTGCCGCGTCGTTGTCAGGACGGGCGGCGGGTGCGCCCCCGCCCTTTCAGCACAGTATTTTGATGCGTTGGATTCGTTGCGTTCTAGCATCCGCAGACAGCGCAGCTGCGTCACGCGCCACTTCTGGGCGTGGCTTCCTTTCGCTTCGCGGGGTGCTCGTCGGGGCCGCGCGCAGTCCGGCCGCGGGACCTCTCTTGGGGGTCTTGGGCTTCTTGGGGCCAGCCGGGGGACTTCTTCGGGGCCTCTTGGGGATTTGTTGGGCCTTCTTGGGGCGCTCTCGCGCGGTGTAGCTCCTGCGGAGGCCGTCTTGGCGGCCTCGGGGCCGCCTTGGGTCCCCTCGGGCTTCTTTGGCCGCCTCTTGGACGCTCGGGGGCCTCTGAGAGTCGACAGAGGCGAGAACGCTAAAATGCTTCAAAAACCATTCAAACAAATAATCAGTTTGGCTCCGCCTCCGCCTCCTCTTCCGCGTCGTGTTCTCCCTGTGGTCCGGACCGAGGCGGGGGGCTGAATCGCTGTCGTCGCGAGGGGGCGGCAGGCCGCGATGCGATTCGTCGGCGGACTCCCGGGCGCGCTTTCGATCTTCAAGGGGGTGCGAGCGCGGTTCACGACCACGGAGAACGCTGAAGCAGGAGCGCGCAAACACCCCTGAGGGACCGTGACAGGCTGGGCCCTCCACTCCGACGACTCGAAGCTGGTGAATGAGCACAGGTCCGAGCCAGAGCTGGTCCTGCAGCGCGTGCCCGGCGCGATCATGGTGAAAATCCCAGGGAGCACGGCGCCCCGCTTGGGCAATCAGCCCGCTGGCGTCTTCCTGGTGAAGCGGAAGGAGGTGTCCTGGGATCGCGGCCCCGGCTTCCTAGCTATGGCGAGGCGCGCGGGGCCCCCGCTGGCCCCGCACTTGGCCGCCGCGGCCCATTGCGTCACCGGCGCCACTCTGACGCGGGCTGGGCGTCTCCTGGGGGTTTCTTGGGGCCGCCAGGGGGCTTCTTCGGGGCCTCTCGTGGGCGTCTTGAGCCTTCTTGGAGCGCTCTCGCGCGGCGTGGCTCCTGCGGCGGCCGTCTTGGTGGCTTCGGGGCCGCCTGGGGGCTGGGGGCTCTCTTGGGGTCTTGTTGGGCCGTCTGGGCGGTCTCTTGGACGGTCGGGAGCCTCTGAGAGTCGATAAAGACGAGAACGCTAACATTTTTCAAAACCTTGAGAAAATCAATCAGTTTGGCTCCGCCTCTTTCTCCTCTTCGGTCGTCTTCTTCCTGCGGTCCGGACCGGGACGGGGAGCTGACTCGCTGTCATCGCGAGGGAGGGGGCAGCTCGCGAAACGATTCATCAGCGGACTCCCGCGGCGGACTCCGGGGCGCGCTTCCGATCTTCGAAGGGACGCGAGCGCGGTTCACGACCGCGGACCGCGGGGAACGCTGAAGCAGGAGCATGCGCACACTTTTGGGGGGGCCGTGAAAGGCTGGGCCCTCCACCTCGACGACTCGAAGCTGGCGAGCGAGCGCAGGTCCGAGCCAGAGGAGGGTGGAGGAAGGATTCTGGGCGGGGAAGGGTGGCGAGGAGAGCCAAGGGAGGAGGACCAGGAGGGAGGACGGGGGGGCGAGAGGGGAGAGGGCGGACGAGCAAGCGGGGCATAGGAGGGAGGAGACGAGCCGCGCCGCCCCGCCTGCCCCCTATATGGCTCTCCGTCCGCAGCTCGGGTCTGCGCGGCACGCCACAGGCTAGTCCTGCAGCCTCGAAGCAGCGGGAGCAGGGGGGGAGGGGCGGGCGGAGGAGCAGGGATGAGGAGGAGGGGGAGGAGAAAACAGACAGGTCGAGGAGGTGGAGACGGGGGAGGAGGAGGAGGAGGAGGCAGAGGCAGCAGAAAAGGTGAGGCGGAGGAGGAGGAGGAGGAGGAGGAGGAGGAGGACGATGGCCAGGCGGAGGGGTGCGCTCCCCGATGCTGCCGGGTGGGAGGCCGACCTCAAGGCGGCGACCACCATCAGGAGCTCCGAGGCCCCCCCCCCGCGGTCGCTCCCTTCGACGGATCGTGGGTCGGTGAGGGGGGTCAGTTTGGATGGGACAAAGATCGCCCCCTCTTGGGTCCGCGGGTGTGGTTGGACACGTGTTGTCGGAAGTCAAAATTGTTTGGGGACTATTTTCTATTTCCCTTCAACATCCGCCTGTAGGAGGACATGCCTGACCTAAGGGAAGGGGAGGGGGATTGGAGGAGGAGGACGAGGAGGACGAGGAGGTCTGCAACCAGCGCGGCGCCCGGCCGTCCAGAGCGCGCCCACGTACCTGCACCAGAACATATTCTTCCATATCCGATTTGCAGTTACCTCTCCTTTGCTCACATCCCCCAGGTGTCAGGTTACCACTACCTCCGCATCGGTACGCATCACCACCGCGACCAGCACGACCGCCCACCCGGGAGCCAGCGTGGCACCGACGCGAACGTCGAGCACAAGCGGCAGCACTCACACCATTGAGATTTGCAGCCGCACGGCAACTACTTCAAGCACTCCGCAGTGCACCACGGAGGCCTTCAGTGGTCGCCGCGGCCCGAGATACAGCGGCGGCCACGGCCAGAAGCGCCCGCGCGTTGGCGGTGCATCGGCTGGCTCCAGAGCGCCAGCCGGGCGGTGCCGACAGCCGAGCTCCAGGCTTTCGAGTAGGAGATCGACTACACAATCGACTGACTAAAACATTGCCTTTTCCCCTCGAAGATGTGCGAAGCAACTCACATAATGCCCCGTACATCTACGAAAATGATGGGCATATGCAGTAGACCCGACGAACAAGTCAATGCTGGGTAAATCAATTATGTAGTGGATCCCCTATTCAAGGCCTTCGCCACACACAGCTCTCAGGCGCAGCACGGGGCGCGTTCGCTGCGCCACTGGCGCTTCATCGATCTCTCGGCTCAGGGGAGGGGGAACAGCTCCTTTCTCCGTCGCTTTCGCCTTCCTGGGCCTCTCGTGGGGCCCTCGTGGCAACGGGAAGCCTCCTGGGGGCCACTTGGGAGGTCCTCCTGCAGCTTAGGCGCAGCGCGGGACGCACTCGCTGTTCCACTGGTGATCAAATCAATCCCTAGACTCTGGGCCTCCCATTACCAGGGTCGGAGTAGATGGGGTCGAAGAATCACGCCGCATCGCCATGTCATCGGCGATGCGGCTCGGTGTGGAGCCCGATGTTCTCCACGCCGACGTCGCCGATGCACCGGCGACATCGATGACGCATCGGAGATGCGGCGGGATCCTCCGACCCCATCTATTCGGACCCCCTCTCGGAGGCCTCTATCGATTGAGAGGGGGACACCATCATATTCAGGCGTTACATTTTTTCTCGCACCATGATTTTTGTTGCCCAGTGCTGGGTCCCGTGTATACAACTCAGTCCGTGGTTGTTCCCGAACCACGTCGGATCTGAGGGAAGGCAACGATACCGATCCCCCCTCCCATGGGAGGAACAGGCACCGATATGGCTACATTTCCGTCGTTTTCGAAAGTTCTGGCATCTTGGGAGGCCCTCGTCGCCACGGTTGGATTCGCTTCGAAATTCTGGTACACAAGGCACCCCGGGGTACAGCCATCGTGTTACCATCGGGAAACATAGTAAAGAACGAGGGGGCGTCTCTGGCCACGGCGGGCCTAGGCCACAAACAGGTTCCACGACCTAAATATAAGGAACGGCTCGAAAACCTCAGCTCCTCCTGAACCCAAAGCGGTCTTCAGTTCAGCATCTTGATTGTGGCGGTACCACTACCTCCTGGTTTCCACACGAGGGCGGTACAATACGCACCGAACGTCCTCACAGCAGTTGCCTGTCCCTCGGGCCCCACTGCGTGCCCAACATCAAGCAGATGGGCATGGCACTGCGCCCTTCCCCTCCATCCCACTGTCCTCCTTCGCCCTGCAGTCTTTCTCTCCCTGTTTCTCCTCGACATGTGCCCTCACATAGGAAGGACGTCCAGTGTCCTGATCTGTTCTGAGGATGTCCGGTGTCCAGGACGTCGGCGTTTTGTTCCGACTTTCCATACGGCCAGGCTTGATCGCTTTACGGCCGGTCAGCGGGCCTTCTTCGGTCTGCGGGTGATTTTGTTGTTGCGTTTATATCCCCAGCAGCAACTCTTTCGGGGAGTTTTCCTGCGGACTCATCCGTATCCGTATTCGTATCCTCCTCGCAGAGCCTCTTTAGGGAATTACGGCTAGGTCCATTCGGTTTTGGCGCGCCGTTCAAGGTCGAATTTTGCGACGCGGAAACACCGAGAGACGCGTTGACGCCATTGAACCCGACCGAATTCAACGTTGAACGATCAGGGCCACGATCGATTCAAGGCGGAACGATCGACGCGGTGTCAAAAACTCTTGCGCGCGCCGACGCCGCAAGATCTACCGTATACGCCGTAACCGCTGCCGTATTCTCCTCGTAACCTTTGCTCGCTCCGACGCCGCGCGAACCTGCCGCGTTTTCCGTGTCCGCATCGTCCTCGCGGATACGCCGTATCCGTACCCCTCGCAGAGTCTTTTTTTTGGGTGGGGGGTTCGGAGAGAGGAGAAACGACACCAACATTACCAGGGGGGCAATCTCCAGCCAGGAGGTCCACGATACCTCCTTGAGCTGGAGTCTGGGGATGTCTCGAGCGACAGGGGGGGGGAACCGCACCACCAGGGCGACCCCCCCCCCCTTGCTCCTCGCATCTCTTCGCCCTGATGGTGTTGGTGTCGCCTTCTGAGTTGCACTTGGGAGTCGGAGGGCGGCAGCTGCTGCTGGAGTCTGCCATTGGGGCCCCGCAGCCAGCATCACACACACGGGTTTGCCGGCGGCACCCAGGGCGGTAGTGTCCTTCGTGTCGACACGGCGGCGGCCCCCCGCCGAGGGCGTTGAAGGTTCAACCTCGGCAGTGGCCCAGCCCCCTGAGGGCGGCTCTGGCCCTCCGCCTCCCTCCTGCAGCCGAAGCGGCGTGGCTGCGAGCGGGGGGCTGCCCAGCGGCCTCTGGGAGCCCCTGCCCCGAGGCGCAGGGGGCCTCGGATGCCCTGGGAGAGGGAGCTCGGGAGGGGAAGAAGCACAGACAGAGAAGCAGGAGGAGGGAGCCGGGAGAGGGAGCAATAGGAAGAGGAGGAGGAGGAGGAAGAGAGAAAGGCTGAGGACAAGGAGGAGGTGGAGGTGGAGGAAGAGGAGGAGGAGGAGGAGGAGGAGGAGGAGGAGGAGGAGGAGGAGGAGGAGGAGGAGGAGGAGGAGCTGGTTGTTGGCCCCCGTTCGCCTCCGAACTGCGCCGTGCACCGCTCCTCCATGCTCTTACGGACCATTACTTCACGGAGATGCGCGGATTCCCGGGAGAAGTGGGGAAATGTGGGCAGCGGAGGGAAAGACGAAACTCCAAGAAATGCGGAAGAATAGAGCGGGGATTTGGGGATTTGTGTGTGCGCGCGCGCGTGTGTGTGTGTGTGTGTGTTTCTTCGTGTGTCCCGGGTCCCTTCAGGAATGGCCTGCCCCGCGAGACTGTGGCGCACGGTCCGTGCAGGCGTCAGCGCTCCCAGACTTCGCTGGAAGACGCCGCGGGAGCAGTGGAGGATTCTTGTTCCTTCTTTCTCCTCCTCCTCCTCCTCCTCCTCCTTCTCCTCCTCCTCCTCCTCCTCCTCTTGAGCTTCCGTGGGCCTCATCCTGTGTGTGTGTGTGTCTGCAGTCGTGCGCGTGCGTGCGAGTGGCGCTCCCGCTTGGCGGGCTCCTGTGACTCAGCGGGCTTCCAGTGTCCGGCGGCAGGAGTCGCTTTTAAGTTGCTTCTCTAGTGAATTTACGTTCTTGGAGAGGCCAGGGCAAGGCCGTGGGGGGAGGGGCCTCTGCGAGGTGCTCCAAGTGCCTCGGGGTGCTCCACGGGGGGGGGGCCCTCGGCTTTGCTCGTCGCCCATCTCCTGGCCCACGAGGCGCGGTCAGTCGGTCCTCTGTCGGGGCGCTTCCTTCGAGCAGGAGATCGACCGCAGAATCGATGTACCCCCAAGTTAGTCATTGTTCGTCGAATATGCTAAACAATAGGCATAGTGTTCGTAAGTCTACGAACAGTCTGCGCATGTTTCGCAGTCGATCCCCTACTCGACTCATTGGGGCATTCCTCGCACTTGCGCCCCGCACATCTGCAACTCCTGCCCCGTGGCAGAGCGCGCGCCCGGCCAGTCTGCCAACTTCCAGAAGGACGAAGCGGAGCTGGCCGAAGCCATCGACACCCTGGGATCGCCTGCCCGCTGCCTTGCCTTCGAGGAGCCACAAAATGCACAAGCATTCGCTGTTGGAGCTCCGCGCGGATTTCTTGGAGCGGCGCTGGCCCCCCCTGGCGGCGCCGCTCCAAGAAATCCGCGCGGAGCTCCAACAGCGTATGCGTGTGCAGTTTCTTGTTCCCTACCTAGGCTCTGCCTAGATGGTTCTTACTCGCTGGGCTTAAAGGGGCCGGGCAGTGGGCTTCGCCCCGGGCGGTTCCCCCGGTCCCCGCCCCGCGGTTCCCCCAATTGCGCCCCCTTACCTTAGCTTTGCGTATCTCATCTTAGCTTAGCTTAGCGTCATCTTAGCTTCGCGTAGCTGTAGTTTAGCTTAGCTTAGCATATCATATAATAGCCCAGCATAGCATAACATAGCGCAGCATAGCATAGCATAGCATAGCATAGCATAGCATATCATATATGTAGATGTAGGTGTAGATGTAGGTGTAAATGTAGATGTGGATGTGAGTCTCGCTGTTGATGTTGATGTAGATGTAGATGCAGGTGTAGACGTAAATGTAAATGTCGGTGTAGATGTAGATGTTGCTTTCCTAAATGCTCCAACTCCTAGGTAGGGTCGCACTGGGATAATTCATATACCGCCCGCCCTGGCGAGGGGCAACTGTAGGGGGACTGGCATCGGGGAGGGGAGACATGTCGTCCTGGAGTCGGCGATGCATCGCCGATAGATCGGCGATATGCCCCCGATCGCGCATCCGAAAGTTCCTGTGCAGGTTTGTGCTATCGGGGCCCTATATCGGCGACCAGTAGGCGATTGGGGGCCGACGCATCCCGTCCATGCCGCTTATCATTGTTCTGCCCCCTTCCTCGCTCCCGCCCTCCCCCATCTCCGCCCTCCCCAGGATGGGAAGGCAGGCGCAAGCACAGAGAAACGCGAACTCCCGCCAAAGTATTTGAAAGCACTCGACATCGAGGAAAAAGATGGGGAATCTTGAACACGTGCCGATCTGTGTGCATCCCTCAGGGGCCCCTTGGCCTACCTCCTCTCCCTTCCTCCCTGGCGTCGCCTCCGGCGCGGCCCTTGGCGCGCTCCGCACGCCGGGGAGGTGGTTCCAGCGCCGCTCCAGGAAGTCCGCGCGGACCTCCGAGAAAGCACAGTCGGGGCCCTGACGAAGGAACCCTTTTCGTTGGGGAGGGGCTCGGTGTTCCTTTTGATTCTTCAACAGTTTGCCTCAGGCTTTCCTGGGGTCTTTCATGGGAGATCGGAGTTCAACTTGTGGGAAAAGGGGGCCTCGCTCCTTTATTCAGGGTTCCTCAGGTCAACGCCCCGACTGTATCTGGGTCTTCCTCCTCCTCCTCTGAGAAATCCGCGCGGCCCCTCGCCCGCGGTGCACCCAGGATATCCAAGGAGGCCCTCACGGCCGCCCGAGCACTCCTCACGAGGCCCAGGGGGCCCCAAGTTAAGTCAAGAAGCTATACGCACAATGGCGCGTGGTCGAAGCAACGCATTGCACTGTACTGCTTGGCCGCTGCCTCCGGCAAGGCGCGTGGGCAGATGACTGCAAGACTGGCACCGCGTCGGAAGCGTCAGGAGCCCCGGGGGCTCCAACATGGAGAGAAACTGTGTGCACCTAGGGCCAGGGGCACTGCCAGCAGCGCCCGCAGGTCTCCTTCCTTAATGGCGCCCGAGGGCGGCGCGGACGGCGCTTGGGTGCCCGAGGGCGGTGCTGCTGCGGCAGGTCAGCTGCGTCCCCCGCGTCGTCCTCTGCCCTGCTCGGTCGGGTTTAAGGCTGGAGGGTTGGGGCTGCCTTTGACGAGCGAATAGTACACACACACGCACACACCACACACACACACACACACGCACACACCACATACACACACACGCACACGCACACACACACACCACACACACACACACACGCACACGCACACGCACACACACGCTCACACACACACACACACCCGCACATACACACAGACACACACGCACACACACAAACACACGCACGCACGCACGCACGCACGCACGCACGCACGCACGCACGCACGCACGCACGCACGCACGCACGCACGCACGCACGCACGCACACACACACACACACACCCACCCACGCACGCACGCACGCACGCACACACACACACACACACGCACACACACACACGCGCACACACACGCAGACACACAGACACACACACACACACATACATACACAGACACTGGCACAGAAACAGCCACAGGCACAGACACAGACATAGACACAGGCACAGACAAACACAGGCACACTCATACACAAGCACACGCACACGCACACGCACACACACAACACACACACTTACCCACATGGGGGGACGGAGTGGCTTATGGGTGCGTGTTGTCGGATGGGGGTCCCCGCTCGAACGGGAGCCTCCCTTGAGGTCAGACAGCCCCAGCCAATAGTTACCCATAGCTAGTCTTCCTCCCTCCGACCCCCTCATGGGTATGGACCATACGGTAAGGGTGTGGGTTGTTCGTTCGCCAGTCTAGGGCCACCACGAGGGTGCGACGCTAGTTGTGCTTCGCGGTCTAAGCGATTTCGGAGCGAGGCGCGATTCCCTCGTCCTTGCCATGTGCTTGATTGGAAACTGTTGACGCTTCGCGCATCCCCACCAGCCCATCCAGCACCAGGTACTCGAACGAAGAGCACCGATCATCGGCAGTTGTTCTTCTCCTCCTTCTCCTCCTCCTCCTCCTCCTCCTCCTCCTTCTCTTCCTCTTCCTCCTGGTGGCGACTTGGAGGTCTCTTGAGGCGTTTTGGTGGGCTCTTGGGCCTTGCGGGCGGGCTGGCGGCGCCCCGCCCGCCCGCCCGCGCGCAGGGCCCAATAGGAGGGTCCAAAACGTTTCTTGGGGCCATCTTGGAGGAGATCGATCAACAAAGGGGGGTTCCTTAATTACGGTCCCCCCTCGGAAGCTCCCCACATCGCCTCTTGGAGCGCCTTTGGGCCGCTCTTGGAGCGCTCTTGGGCGCTCTTGGGGCCGTCTTGGGGTTCTCTTGGGCCCCTCTTGGGGCTCTCTTGGGCCATCTTGGAGCTATGTTGTCGCCTCGGATGGGCATCCGAAGCGCGAAGGCGAGAAAGCTAAAAACATTGATTTTTCAATGGTGTTGAAGCATTTCGGCCTCTTGGGGGCATCCTTGGGGAGCTCTGTTGGACACTTGGAGCCATCTTGGGGCGGTCTTGGAACGTCTTCGAGCATCTTCGGAGCCATCTTGAGGCATCTTGCGCTATCTGAAGCCATCTTGGAGACTATCTTGGGCTCTCGGAGGCCCTCTCGGAGCCAACGTGGGCGAACAACTACCCTCTGACACCTCCCCGCCCCTCCCGTCCAGGTCCACGGGGAGGGGGTAAGGGGAAGGGTAAACTCCTCCCCGAAGGGGAAGAGGGAGGGGTGGAAGAGGAAACGCCCTAAACCACCGACGCCCAGAGGGCTGGTGGGATTAGGGGCGCTCAAGACGGTGACACGGAGCACCTCCGCGAGTGAGCTGATGGCCGCGATCTCATCCACCGATCACGTCCTAACGCCTCGCTCACCACCACGTTTCACGAGGTGGCCAGAGGCCCGCGCGGTGCTTCTGCCGCGCGGAGCCAGCGCGACAGGCTGCAGGCTTCGGCTGTGCAGCTCGAGCTCTGCTTGGACTCAGTGGGAGTCGTCACCACTATGACGGCCACCAGGCCCGAGCCTCCCGCAGAACATCACTGTTGCCACGCTTGCTGTGGCTTCGCGACCTCCTGTGCTCGGGTCAGCTATCGGCCTTGAGTTGGGATGACACCTGCAACATGATCGCAGTTGGACTCACGAAGGGCTGCATAGATCGTGCGGCACTCCACTCAGTCACCAGCGGTCAACGCCAGACATACCGCATGCCATACACCGTCACCTTCAACGCTGCTGGCAAGCTCACCTTTCTATCGGGCCATGGTGCTAGCCTGTGGAGTGTGGTGGGCAGCAGTGACCTGAGCGACCGCCGACCTCAGTGCCCCAGTTCCACCTGGCCAAATTACCTCCCTCATCTCACATGGAGGTCCCATGTTCGCTCTCGCGTCGGCCACGACAAGCTCACTACTCACGACTACCGCTCTGCATCGGCTGAGAAGGGTTTGGCACGGCAGGCGCTGCAACGGAAAGGTCATGCTGTATTTTGAGCGGCTAGGCATGCGCAGCAGTGCACGTGCGCAGATGCGCATGCGTGCATGAGTCACGTGACATCGGCAGCCACTTGCCTGCTCATCAGCGCGCGGACCCGCGCCCGGCGCTGGCGCTTGTGCGCAGGCCTGCGCCGGCCGGCCTTCGCGGGGCCAGCGCGCGCGGCATTGCCCCCTGCGCGTGCGGCCGCCTGCCTCCACAGAAGGCTGCTGTTGCTTCTGTTCCGCGGGCCCCGTCTTCTTCGGGAGCAAGCGCCAGTCCACCCAGACGCACGAGCGTAGCGCAGGCTGCTGCGGGCGCTCCACAGACCAACTCTGGCGCCAAAGTGGCGGATCCTGACGGCCTTGTCCGTCCACCAGGGACTCCACCCACGAAGGCGCCGGCTGCGAAGCGGCGCCCCGACAGGGACCGCAAGGGGTTGCGGTCGCCGCAGCGGGCTCGTCAAGCGCAACCACATGGGCGGGCAGGCCGGGTTGTTCCGGATTTGGTGGATCTCGTTCGTGACCGCAGCCGCCCAGGCGCTCCGTTGCCTCTCCGCGCCCGCGACGGGTCCTACGGGTACCGGCGCCGCCGCAGATCCCCAGCGGCCATGACTCCGACCCCCAGGCCATCGCCAACCATGGCGGACGCGGTCAACCGCGCGGAGTAGGTCTCGAAGCGGTCCCTCATGAAGTCGGAGTAGGACGACGTCATCGAGATCATAAGATTCATCCGCGGGCGGAGGATTTCTCACCCCCTTCCAAATCACATCGCCCGTCTCACATTCTTGTTCAGATGGGGGCATGGAAGACCACCTCCAGATTGCGCTGACCCGCGAAGCGGGTGCGATCTACTCGAAATCCCTTAATAATCGCCCCCTGGGTCCGGTTTTTTGAGGCGCCTGTTTTGGAAGCGGGGGGGTCCAGTTTATTAGGGCTTCTTCTGAACCGAAGACAAGGGCCTGGAATATGAAGGCCCCCTGTTGCCAGGGGGGCCCGGAAAATCAAGTGGCCGTTGAAGGGGGGGCCCGGTTTTTCCTAGCGGGGGGTCGATCCTTCAGGGACTTCGAGCATCCATTTGGCGTTCATCCCCTCGGCCGCCCCACCTCTGGAGGTGAGGGGATCCAGCCGAGGGTGTTGCGCTTCGCCCCGCGCGCAGCACCGGGCCGGGCGCTCTTGCCCTCGGGCAGAGGAAGGCCTGCGGGCGCCACCGGGCCCCGGTTGCCGGGGGCCCGTGGCCCGGCTGCTGTTTAAGTCGGGCAGGTCCCTCTACAGTCGGGGGCGGAAAAGAGGGGGGTGATGACTAGGGGGGGGTGGATATCATGGCGGGGGCCATGATATTTCCCCTGATTTTATGGCGCCTCTTCTTGTTTCATTACGTCCCTGGCCCCCCCGCTGGGCCGCGCACATGCATGCCGCCGGTCATGATTTGCACCCCCCCTCTTGGACACCCCCCTCTTGGCCGCTCCCGATACAGGAGGAATATTCAAAAATAGAAAAAGAAGTCTGGGGACGATCTTCTATGATTTGCTCATCATTTCCTCGCATTTGGGGGGCATCTTTCATTTTTCGTCGAGAATCCGCCTGTAGGGGGACATGCCCGACCTGAGGCTACTGCCCACACCCCATGGAGGTTGGAGACCAGCCTCGGGCGGACTCGCGGCCGCGGTCGTTGTCCATCCCGCGGAAGCCGCCCAAGCCAACTGGCGTGCCGCCCGCTCGGAGGCACGAGGGGGACCACGTGCGCGTGCGCGACGACGACGCCGAGCGCGGCAGAGGCAGCGGCTTCCGCGGGTTCGAGGCGCAGCGGCGGGCGCCCCGACGGGGCTTCCGTGCAGTGGGGGCCCATCCCAAGGAACGCCCTGCTTGCCTCCAGGGTGCCCTGGGTTTCTTGGGTTTCGAGGGTTTTGCGCTGGAAAGCGTGACGTTCCCACACCAAAAATCAAGGGACGCCTTAGGGTCTCAGGGTTGGGTTTCTTGTGTGGAAGGTTCCTTGTGGTCGGGCCCCTACTGCAAGGGCATGGGCGCCCGCGCGCCCATCGGCTCGCGGGCCAGGCGAGCTACGTGTCCGGCAAGGGCGGCGGCGGCCAGTCGAACAATGGCGACACGCAGAGCGGGGCGGCGGCGTCGCCCGCGGCTCCCGCCCCCGCGCCCGAACCCAAGCAGACCAGGCCCCGCGGCAGCGAGGCCAAGAACAGTGCGGATGGTGCGTGGGCATCGGCCCGTCGCGCTGATCAGGGCGCCCCCGAGGCGTCCACCGCCAGGCGAAGACGAGTCTGAGGGCTCAGGAGCTGCAAGCGGCAAGCCTCGGTCGGTGTCGCCCTCTTAAGCGAGGAGATCATTGAGGAGCGAGGCGCACTGCAGACCGGCCGTACGCCCTCAAGGTGTCACCTCTTACATTCCTCTCGAAGTACCAGTGCAAGGCAACTCCACTCCCTTCCTTGCCTCCTAGCGACCTCGGTGCCATGCCTCGCCGAGCCTGGCTTCCAGGCTCAGGCATTCAGACATCCGTGCGCGGCACCAGGTCTTCGCAGACACGGCGCATGGCAGTCTGCGTCGAACGTGCGGGGGGGGGTTGGCAGTTCTGGTTGTCTTTTTGTTATGTTCCTTTACTCTGCCAGAGCTGTTCGATCGCCCTCGCAATCTCGACTTGGGTTAGGATGCCTGGTTGTCGTCGGGGTCCAGCGCCGATACGGGATTTTTGCTGGTGGTCAGTAGGAAGGTTCCGCACATTGCATTGCCGCCGTGGCAGCTTCTTCAACTGTTCCAACCCCTACAATTCTAGTTCCCCCTCCTCCTCCTCCCTCCTCCTCTTCCTCCCCCCTCCTTCTCCTCCGCCTCCTCCATTGTGGCGATCGCGACTTTCCGAAAGCGCGGCTCGTTCGATACCCGTTGATTCTGGGCACTTGGCAGCGCTCAGCCTGGAACGCCTGAGCTGGAGTCGCAGCCGAATCAGCGTGGCGCGGCCACGCACTCGATATTTTGATATGTTCAACGCGGGGTCCCCAGACATCCCAGCCCAATTCTCAAGGCTGGTCAGTCATCCTTGGTGATCTTTGGCGGTCCCCCGGAGGCCAAAAACGGCCAAAAACCTGTTGTCGAGATTTATTGTAGGATGCGAGCATGTGTGGGGCTCTCGGTGGGGATTGAAGCGAGGCTTCCCAGATTTGGGTTCGCGTAGTTTGGGTCGGAGGATCGCGCCGAATCGCCGATGCTTCGACGAAGCGGTTCGATGAGGAAGCCGTGTTTTTCCACGTCGTCATCGCCGATGCATCGGTGATTTATCGACAATCCAGCGCGACTTTCTGACCTTACGTACTACGACCTCATCTGGAACGCCTTTATATGGTGGGGATTGGAAGGGGGCGGCGCTGTGGCAAGTGCTATTGGGAAAACCTGTCGCCCAGGGCGGGCGATCACGATCATCGAGCGCGAGATGGCCAAGAATCCGGCACGCGCCCAGGAGGATGAGGAAGTTTTGGGGGATCAGGACGAGGAGCGAACATGGAGTGGAAGGAGGAGGGCGCTGGGGAGGAGGAGGATCTAGGCCTCCCACGTGCGTTCCGAGTGGATGGTTGTCGGACGATCGCGCCACCGATGCATCGGCTATGCGGCTCGATGTGGATTCCGATTTTCTCCACGTCTACGGCACCGCTGCAAAGCCGACGTCGCCGTTGCATCGCCGATGCATCGACGGTGCGGCGAAGTCCTCCGACCCCATGTGCTCCGCCCCCAAATGGGAGGCTTCTAGAGGAGGAGGAAGAGGAGGAGAAGAAGAACAGGAGGAGGGGACGAGGAGGAGGACGAGGGAGACGAGGAGGAGGAAGGGAGGTAGGGAGGAAGTCAGCAAGGGAGGAAGGGAGGAATGGAGGGAGGGAGGAAGGGAGGAGGAGGAGGAGGAGGAGGAAGAGGAGGAAGGAGAGGGGGAGGAGGGCAAGCTAGGTGCGCTCGCGTCATCTCTGACGTCCTTCCCCTCCCTCCCATTTCTTTCCATGGCGTAGATCTCCTGTTTATTCGCGCAGTCGAATGTCGTAGCAGAGTATGTCATGACATAGCATAGCATGGTGTTGGAGATCAACGCGTAGCCTGACATAGCATGGCGTGGCGACGCCCCAAAGGGGGGGGGTCTGCGGCCCAAAAAGTCAACGAATCGACACCGAATGTGTAGTCACCTCCGATAGTCGCTTCGGGGGGACATGTTTTAGATTTTGGGGCCTATTTGGCAGGACCGACAACCATGCCGTGGCATGGCGCTGAAAATAATCACCCCAGCGCTACAGCGGGAGCACGATTCGGAACGAGCGGAAGCGCGGAAATGAGGCCAGCGTTGCAGCGGGAACACGAGTCGGAGGACGCGTAGCTTGACATAGTATGGCGTGGCGACGCCCCACAATTAAGCTTCTGCGGCCCCTAAGAACAACGAATCGGCACCGAATGTGGAATCTTTTCCGATGGTTTTTTCGGGAGCGCATTTTCTAGATGTTCTGGCCTATTTGAAAGGGCCGAACACCATGTCGTGGCATAGTGCTGGAAATGATGATGCCAGCGCTGCAGCGGAAGCACGATTCGGAAAGAGCGGAAGCGCGGAAATGTGGCCAGAGCTGCAGCGGAAGCACGATTCGGAAAGAAGCGGAAGCGTGGAATGCAACGGTAGCCCGAACCCCAGGCCAGCGCTTCGGCGAGAGCAGCATCTTGAAAGCAAATCCCAAGCGAAAACCCGTTTCCCGGGAATCTTGTGCAAAAAGCCAGTACGCGGAGGGGGGCGAACATTTCTTCGACGTCGCCAGGGGAGAGGGGAGAGTAGTATTCAGATGTTGCAAGTGTGGAGGAGGAGGAGGAGGAGGAGGAGGAGGAGGAGGAGGAGGAGGAGGAGGAGGAGGAGGAAGAGGAGGCGGAGGAAGGGGAGGTGGGGGAGGAGGAAGGGGAGGAGGGGGAGGAGGAAGAGGAGGAGAAAAAGGAGGAGGAGGAGGAGGAGGAGGCCGCCAGACATTTGAACAAGTTTGCGCGAACTTTGGGCCAGGCTTCACGGGGGCCCGCTTCGAGCACTGGGTAACACTCAATGGGAACGCAGACGGGAAGGAGGCGTTGGTGCACGTGTTCGCCGTCCTCATGCGTGGCGAGGCGCCGCCAGCTGCGTCGCAGACGCTGCTGGGTGGCCGTCTATGTAATCCGTCTCCAGAAGCCAGGCGGCGGGGTACGACCCCTCGCCTGCGGAGAGACGCTCTGCCGCATGACGGCGAAGGCAGCAACGACGAACCACCAGGAACTCATCGCGCAGGCGGTGGGGCCGCACCAGTGCGGGATCGGTCGGCGCAACGGCGTGGAGGTCACACACAAGCTGGTGAACTGCTCCGTGGAGAAGGCCCATAACAGTGCAGTGCTGTCACTCGACGTGGCAACAAACTCGACCGGGACATCGTGCTTCGGGGAGTCGCCCAGCGCTTTCTGCCCCTCGCGCGCCTCGCCTCGGCGTGGCACGGCGGAAGCACCACGCGCGGCGCCCACGCGGCCGGAACAACAGGTGCGGCGACGGCGGGGCCAGGCCCTGACCCGCGCGGTCCCTGGCATGTGAGGCATAGGCCTCGGCTATCGCGCCCGTTCCTCCTCGGGGGCGGCCCGCCGCCGAGCGGTGGGCCGCACCTGGGGTGGGGGGGCTGCGCCGGCCCCCGACAAGAGGGGCTTCAAGGTTGAGGTCCAGGAGGTCCAGGCTGTGCCCCCCAAGCCGAAGGGGCTGGATGGCCCGCACTTCGGGGGCGGCAAAATGGGGGCCCTTAAGGGCCGCCTGCTTGAGTGCGTGGGCATGGCCCAGAAAAGACGGGCCAACCACCTACGGCAAAAAGGGAGGGATAGCCTGCACCGGCATGTAAGTAGATGTCGTGGACTCCCGCCTGTTTTCCCCGACGAAGCTGAAAAAACGTTTTCAGGACAGGCTTGAGGGCACCCTTTCCTGAGATTCTGCGAGCCTTCAGCGGCTCCAGGGCCTGGCCAAGGAGTGTCGCCGCGTTGTTTTAGGTGTTGAACGTTTCCACGGGCGGGGAGCTTCGAAAGGTCTCAAGGAATGGATCTTAGAGAGTGTAAAGAAGGGTGGGGGGGCATCCATCGTTGGACCAAGACGCGGGGGGAACCAGCGCCCACCCTCGCCCCGGCCCACGGCCCTGAGGGGGAAATCATCGTGGACCCCCTTCGTTCGGTGACGGCCAAGGCGGCTGCATGGGAGGCGCTGTGGTGCCCGCGGATTGGTGCTCAGGGGTCCCCTCAGGTCCAAGACTGGTGGCCCGAGTTTAAGGCTTGTGCTCGCGAAGCCCAGGGCGAGCTCAAGCAACTCGAGTTGGACGAGTTAGATTTTGTCCTCTCCAGTCTTCGGTCCGTGATCGGGATGGGCCTCGATGGCCAGAATCCGAAACACTGGAGCCAGCTTCCGCTAGCTGGCCGAGGGCAGTTGCTAGAAGTTCTCCAGCAGGTGGAGGATGCGATGACCTGGCCGCGTCAGGTGCGCGATAATGTAGCGCAGCTCCCCCACAAGTCGCCGATAGCCGATCGCCCGATAACCCTCACTCGAGGCCTCTATAGTTTTTGGTTGGTGGCGATGCGGGGGGCGGTGGCGACCTGGGTCAAGGGAGAGGGTGGGGCTCGTTTCTGGGATAAGGCCACGCGAGGGAGCTCGGCATTAAGAGCGGCGATCATGCGGCAAATCCAGTTGGAGGTCTCCACGATCCAGGGCCTGTCTTGGGCTGGGATCCTGTGGGACCTGGGCAAGTTCTCCTGTTACTCACAATATTTTGAAGTTTTTTTTTCAGGCTCGGGCGAGCCACTGGATATCCGATGTTTCACCTGTTCATGGCCATGCAAATCCATTTTGCCCCTGGGAGGGCGAGGGCGGAGGACTGTCTCGGTCAAGTCATGCACCCCTGGCGGGGAATCCTAGCGGGATGCAACCAGTCGGTAGATATCGCCAGGGTAGGAATGTTTGAGATATTGCAAAACCTGCACGACTCGTTCAGACCCCATCCAATTCGATTCCTGCGTGGGCGATTGTTCGCAGCGGGCGGCGGGGCACTCTAGGGAGGTGGTCTCGAAGAGCGTGCAGGTGGGCAGGAAGTTCTGGGGGCTGCGCGCGCAAAGGGGGCCTGAAGGTCTCCAGCAAGAGCACCCTCGTCAGCTGCCCAACGCATTTGGCTTCAGAGATCCAGGCGGCACTGGCAGCGCACGGTTTGCATGTCAGGACCTCCCAGGCAACAAAGGACTTGGGAGTGGGCGCGACGGCCTTTCGGCGGAGTGCGGCCACTCAGAAGAAGCGGCTAGCCTAGGCCGCGAGTCGTGCCAAGATGATCGCGCAAGTTGCCAGGCAAGGTCACCCCGAAGGCTCGGGCTCTAGGGAGATCTGGATTTTTGCCTCAAGCGGCGCGGGGGCTGGAAGGCACTGGGTTGGCCCCCCTCGACGCTGACGAGACTGCGGGCCCAGGTCGCAGCATTGTCTGTGGCGCGCCACGAAGAGGGGTGCGCCGCGCCAGCGATCAATTCGATGATGGGGTCATACCAGGGCCCGCTAGTGTTTGGCGGGCTACGTGCTTTTCATGCGGCTAGATCTCATGCTACCTGTGCCGCGCCAGTCAGAGCGACCTCTTGCGCCGGCGCAGAAAAAAAAGGCTTGGCCGCAGCTGCGGGGCGCAAAGCGCAGCTGGGGCCTGGTGGAAGGGCGCGTCTCTACTGCCGTTGCTTGCCGCCAAGACATCGACTGGACGGCGCCTGGGCCTTGGATGTGAATCTCACCGGCGCAGCAAAGTTTTGTTTTCAGGGGCTGCGACCCTGAGATGCTTATAGATTTCGAGCTGGGTGGGTCCCTGGATGCCCAGATATAGGGCAAAGCGGCCCTGCGCCACCTCGGCAAAGGTTTGGAGTTCAGTGCTGTGTCGCGCTTCCTTTACGGCGCATGAAGCGGCTCGAACGGCGTCGCCCATGTGATCGAGCCGCCGCGTTGCGCATGGTTGCGACCGGCAGCGCGCGGCCGGCGGCGAGGAGGTTTGAAGAGGCATCGACCAGACCTCCCAGCTTGCCTGCCTTTGCCCCTGCGCCTTTCTCCTCCTCGTCCGAGCCTGCCGCGGGGGGGCCGCCAGCTGCGGCCCCGGGCACCTTTGACGAGGACTTCGATTGGACGCATATGTTCGACGTGGAGGCCATGCAGGATGGCCAAACCCCTGCCGCTGAGGGGGGGGGGGGGGGGGGGGGGGCAGGGGCCTGGCCACCCCGGCCTGCCCGCGCTGTGGGGCGGCCTCGGAGACGACTTTCCACCAGCTGTGGGAATGCCCCTGCAACGTGGGGATCGAGGGCGCCCATCCCGAGCTGCTCCAAGAAGCGACGGCTGGGTGGCGAGAGTTTCCTTGCTTCTGGTTGAGAGGGCGCCCGCCCTTGTGGTGGACCAGCGGATCAACCTGGATAGATGTTCCTAGCTAT